ATCGATTGACTGGGCGTCGTCCAGCTCGGTTTACGGGCTCAACACAGAAAACCCATTTTCGGAGCTCCACAGAACAGACCAACCGGCCAGCCTGTACGCCGCGACCAAAAAAGCCGGTGAGGAAATTGCCCACACTTACAACCATATTTACGGCCTCGCCCTAACCGGGTTGCGGTTCTTCACCGTATACGGGCCATGGGGCCGACCCGACATGGCCTACTTCTTTTTCACCAAGGACATACTGCAAGGCAAGCCAATCGACGTGTACAAAACAGTAGACGACAAGGAAGTGGCACGTGACTTCACTTACATAGACGACGTCGTAAAGGGGTGCCTAGGGGCACTGGACACAGCGGAGAAAAGCACGGGCAGTGGGGGCAAAAAGAAAGGGCCTGCCCAGCTGAGAATTTACAATTTGGGCAACACGTCCCCAGTGCCCGTGGGGAAATTGGTTTCGATTTTGGAGGGCCTTTTGGGTACAAAAGCTAAGAAGCACGTGATCAAGATGCCTAGAAATGGGGACGTGCCCTACACTCACGCCAATGTGAGCCTGGCGTACAAGGACTTCGGGTACAAGCCCACCACGGATTTGTCCTCCGGGTTGAGAAAGTTCGTCAAGTGGTACGTGAGTTATTACGGGATTGAGACGAGGGTAAAAAGGGAAATGGATATTAACAAGAAGGGCAGTCAGCAAACCGAAGAATCCGGTTGATTAAATCATCACCGTCAATCATCATCATCACTGATCACATGGGCTTTCTTTCTCTCTTCCTCTTCTTAAATTTTTTGTTGAATTAAATTCTGTTTTGTTTTTGTAAGTTATTGTGGTGTGGTCCTTGATGTACTGGATCCAAGCTGTTCTTGATGTATCATATAGATATATAAAAAGAAATGTCATATAGAAGAAGAAGATAAATGTTAGGAAAGAGAAACAGAGGGAAATGGGGAAGCAGAGAGAAGGTGGTGTAGATCTGGAAAACATGGGGGGAGGGAGGAAGGGGAAGTTGTAATAATTTATGGTGGGGTCTACTAGAAAGGATGTAGATCTCAGCCATTGGATTGGTATAAAGAAATTTGTGATTGTAACAACAAAACAATGACATCAAGAATCTTCTTTGCCTTTGCTTCCTTGTTGTATCCATTTTATTTGTTTATTACTTACTATATATTTCTTGCTTTTGTTCTTTCTTGGGTCATCACACATAATTGGGTTTTTTGCTTTATTGGGTTGCAAGTGGAAGAAATCTTGATTAATTATTGCTTTTCAAGATTCAGAATGATCATCAATAATGAAAGAGCTACAATACTTGTTTCAAGTATGAATTTGGGCCATGATTTCATGTGTAAAAAAGAAGAAACAACTGGGAAAGTAAAGATTTCTAATTACCGAAAGGGATTTTGGGACATCTGAAATCAATTTGTGAAAGGCTTTTTAAAAAAAATTATGCTTTTTTTTTTTTTTTTTTTTAAACGTTGAAAAAAGATTAAACTTTTTTTATGTGAATTAGAATTAAAATTTACGAAGAGAATTCACATCAGATTCCTAAGTTCCGAAAATTAAACCGTTGGGAATTTTAGAAGTGCATGTCGATAGAAGAAAAGTGTCGGTGAAGGCTCAAAATAAAAGAAAACTCAGCCACACAAGTTTTATGCTTATCTCAATTTAGTTGGCCTACATAGCTACTTTATTTTAATTTTAAATTTGTCTATTTTTGGCATAAGAAGTTACTGGAAATGAACCCTCAATGCATACCATCATATAGCTAGGAGTTTTTTTTTTCTAATTGAACCCTCAATGCAATTTTTTTAAAAATCTCACCCCATCCACAAGGCAGCATCACAATAATTGAGTTGATTTGAACACCGACCTGTAAAGTATTTATCTTTTTCTTTTTGCTTTTGATACAGAATATATGGTTGTTATGGCTTCCGGGGTAAGTTTTGGGGTTAAAAACTAATTTGCAAGTCTCTTTGGTTTGCTGAGCAATATTATCTAGAGATGATAGTCAAGTATATTGTTCATTTTAACGTTAAAGTCATGCATATGATTGCAGAGCAGGAGTTGGGAAAAAAAGAAAAGGAAAAAAAAAGAAAGTAATATTTGATAATCTGTGAGCAATACAAACAACAGCTTTTCCTGCTCACAAGGCCCGCTCGTCATTTGACCGTGTACTACAGCAGTACTTTTTTGTTCTCACTTTTGTTTTGTCTTTTCGGATTTTTCTAGGGTTTACTGTATCGGCATTCAAATCACGATACAATCGTGAATGCGTTGATTTAACGACAACAATTATGTTTGTATTAAGGTTTTAATCGTTAGATCACGAATTTAACGACATAATTGTGAATATGTCGATCTAATGACTACAACTGTATTCGTATTACAGTTGAAATTCTTTAAATTCACATTTTCACATTAGTAATCACAATTTGTTAGACTGTATAAGCATTAGTAACAAGAGTAAATGAGTGGTAAGCCCCCAAATCTTAGAACCTCTACTTGTATCATCTTCTTCTTTACAATAACAGGAGTCAATAAGGCCCCAAATCGGCACTCAAATAAATTTCAGTTACCTTTGACGTTTGCCTAGCGTTTGAAGCTTGGGACACTCCTAATTACATCCATATTTCAAGATCTCCAATTGGAGGCATGAGATGAATTGTAGGCTTGGGCAAAGAAGGATGACCAAGTCAACGGGAACCGCATAAATGGACCAGTGAGTTATCCAAGGCAATAAGTTCATGACACACAACCTATTTGATAATTAGGATGCCTTTTAATTAACCACCTAATAAATGGAACCAGCTTAGAACCTCTCAAGATTTGCGATGCCAAACCTTAATTATAAATTAATTAATTTGACTTTTGAAGTCAAGAGAATTTAGATTCCGAAGCATTAGTATATGGATCTTATGAATAAGATAATCCAATCTTGAATATTCTAAACCACATTATATCTATATATATTTGATCACTAGTCAATTATACCTTATTTGATTTTCCATTTTGAAGGCTAATCTGTTCTTTTCCCTCCCACATTTAGTGGAACTTAATTAAATTAAAATATCAAAATGGCCACTATCATCCCCCAATTTGAAAACCGACATTATTGATTTTCTTTGAAAATGGGGTTATAGAATAAAGTAGCTCTGCCGACGGAGTCTAGCTCAATGAAAAACGATCTTGATTTGCAGACCAATTGTCTCAAGTTCGAACCCATATTACACTTTGTCAGTGTGTGTAAGAAACCACCACCTCCCTCTAGTTTAGACTATCACTTATATTAAATAATAAATAAAAAAGCAGATGTGATCCGACCAAAGAAAATTAAAATACAAAAAAGAAGAAGCTGTGGAAATATAACATATCATTTCAAAAATACCTTTCACCGCTTAGAGTGTGCTGCATTAACTCCTCACTCTAGAGTTTAATCTTGCACAAACAAATATTTTTTTCTTCCCAAACAGATGAGTAGTAGGATAGGTATCCTACAATCCTTATGCATTCACCTAAGGATGTTGATGTTAAATTTTGTTACCTTCGTTACCCTAACAATTTTGTCAAATTTAACTTTTATTGAGATTATGCTACAAGTTAAAAACGTAATTGCAAAAAACATGAATGACATCGTATCTAGTCAATTTTGAAAAATGTTCAAAGTTTGAATCTTTTCTCTTCCGTGATTAAAACAAACTCAATAAGTATCAAAATACTTGTCCTATATAGTTTTCTTTTGCCTACCATATCTTGCAAAGGGGTAGTGAAAAAAAAAAAAAACCTTAAGGGAGAAATTAGAAAACCTCACAAATGCAAGCATGGTAAAATTGTTTACTCTCATTATATTTGTTTATTTTTTTCCTTAATAAGGGTAAAGTTGGTAAAACTGGGACATAAAATGTATATTTTTTTAAAGGTTGACAAAGACTATTTTATTAAATAATTGTATAAATAAATAATTGATGCATTTCCTAAAACACAAAATATTATTTAAAAGGCCAAAATTGTGTGATCCACTCCGATTTTAAGCCCGCAAGTTGTGCAGGAATCCATGGAACCATGCCATATGTGAATAATAATAATAATAATATCTCCCAGTTCGTATCATCAGTTTGCCTCCATTAATTTATGCTCATTTTTTCTCATCCTAAAAAGTCTGTTTTTTTGTCTATATATATATATATATATGAAGTCTAATGTTTAATATATTATGATCTGAATTTGATTTAATGAATTTATTTAAAAGTTGAAGCGGAAATTCCAAACTAAATAAATAAAGGTTGAAGAAATGGTCGGTGGCATAAAATATTTCATTTGATTTGAAGGGTACGTACATCCTTGGCTGTTGAGCTTAATGTCAACACAACCACCATCTTTTCGTCATTCCCTTCGTTATTTTTTTTTGTTCAAAACCATTGCAATGATTTGTTTGAGGAAGAAAAGAAAGCACGGCCCTTTCAAATAATAAAAAAAATTTGGTGCAAGGATTTCTATCATTTTCAAGAATGTCATGAATGGTGCTGCTGCGGCTGCTGGAGGAGGAATTTCCATTGATGAGAGGATGAGCTATAACAAACATGTTGACATGACCTCCCCGGTAAAGCATTGCCTTAATGATTTGGTAATTAAGGTTTTGGATATAAATGACCAATAAGAGAGCTTGAATTAGTCAAGTTTGTTGATTAAAAAAAAAGGGAGACTGAACCAATAAGAAGTCTTTCAATTATTTTCAGTGTTAAAAGAACTTCCATTGAGGAGAAAGGTTTGTTCTCACTGCTTTTCTACCTAATTTTGGCACTTTTAACTTCTTTGAATTGAATGGAATGGAAAGTCTTTTTTCTTTTTCTAAACTTCCATTCTAAGCAAGATTTCATTAAAATTACTAATAAAAGCATGATTAAGTTAGAATAATGTGGGCATATCATGATCATGAGCTAGCTTGTTTTTGGTTTATGCTTTCTTACCTATAATGCCTTTACTAGTATGCTTCATTTCAAAGTCAGAATATGTTTCAGATGCCTAAACATTTTCGATGCCTGCCATTGAACACTTTTCCTGCTGAAGATAGATGTCAATGCATTTACATATTGCATCGGGTCAAAATTCACACAAAGTGTCTATGGACTCCATGGAAATTCAATATTACGTCGCCATAAAAAGTTAGTAAAATTTATGTTTCTTACAACTGCAAGTGCATTTGTATAACGTCCACTTGGATAGCATGGTAAGGAAAATACATGAAATCTAAGACTTTATGTAGGGATTATTGTAGAAATGTCACTTGAACTTATACCTCCATTTTAATTTGTCACCTTAAAGAAAATTTAAGAGAAATGTCATCTTAATTTTTCAAAATCCATGATTTGTCATCTGACTTTAACACGTCCAATTTTCCATCCATTTTAAAGGGTATTTTAGTCTTTCCATTGGCAGGCATATTCTCTCCCTTTCTCCCCCACCTGACCCCCAAAACACATCACATAGACCCCCCCCCCCCCCCCCCCCCC